CAGTTTGGGTCCACCTCCCTCCCCCCTTCTCCCCCTCAGGTGCATCTGTTTTGGGAGAGGGGTGTGCACGTGCACAGGCTGTGCTTGGAAGTCACGGCTGTTGCCTTTAGAAAGATGCTCCTACCTCTGGTTTTCAATGATGGGCATTTTGCCAGAGTTTGTTATCCCCCCTCCCACCCCCTATGCCCTGTCTTAAAGGAATCTTTCTCCCCTGGGATGGCTTCCTTGACTCTGCCGGTTAGCCACACTGGCATCCTCATTTAGACTCATCTATCTTTTCCACAGATGACATATGCAGCCTTTGAATTTTCAGTACAGTGATTTTATTTATCAGCTCTTTAAAAAAATGTACAATTTGCAGATGACAATATTAATGTAAAACAAAACATGTAAAACCCAGCCATTTAAGTAACCCACAATAAATTAACAGGAAGCTTGTAGCTACCCACCCCAAAGAATCTCCTCTGTGTTTCATTAGCTCACCACTTCTTGTACCAGTATTAGTGTTACTTTTTGTTCCCAAAGTCTCAAGAAAGGCTCTCACTTTTAAAAAGGCTGCTTCTTTTTAGACAACTTCCAAGCAACACGGAGACCTTTGCCCCCCCTCCTCCCGCAGAGGAGACGATGTTCGATGCTAGACTACTCCACGCATGGCAGGTGCCCCTAAAAAGTGAGGGCACTGGGCCCCAACATCGCCCACGGCCAAAGTTTTTAAAAAAGAGCTTCCTGCCAAAGGACACTTTAAGCCCTGTCTTCCTTTGTTGCTTACAGGAGCAAGGAATTACGCTCCCCCGCCCCACACACACACACCGAGGCCCCACCCCATAGCAGAGCCCCAGCCGGCTGCCTCCCGGGTCTGGAGTTCCACCCACAGACAACACACAGCCTGTTTCAGTTTGGTCATCACCCATTTCCTCCCTCGGGAGATGTACCTCTCCTGACATCCAGTGCGATGACGCTGGGCTTTCTGAATGTCAGGCCACTTAACTACGTGCTGGATTTCGTGGTGCTGAGGTCTCTGCCCCTCCCCTTGAGAACCCTGTCCTCCTGGCCCCAGGGGCCCTGGGCACAACTCACCACTACGTCCAGAATCAGTCCGTCCCCGCCCCCCCCAATGGTTCCAAGGCACAGTTTTGGGTTCCAAGATGTGCAAACGGGGGCTGGGGGCTCAAAGCTGCTCCCTGGAGCCAGCGGAAGGTGTTCCAAGCAAGCCACGGAGGCTCTGGGCACTCCACCCCGTCATGCCAGGGCCCCTAGTCCCAGGGCCCCCCCCCCGGCCCCACCTGCTCCTCCTCCTCGAAGGAGCCACCTGTCGAAAGACACCCCCGGGTCCCGTTGCGGAGGGGAGCCGAGCACGCGCCCTAGAGCCCTGCAGCCAAAAGGGTGCCCGAAGAGCCTGGCGGCACGCCCCCACTGAACGTGCAGCAACTGAGGAGAGGCCGCGCTCCGGTCACCCACGGCAGGACCGGCAGAGCCGCCCTCCAGCTCCCAAGCCACGGGGCACTGGGAACCAGGCCAAGCATCAGCGGGAGGGAGCGTCACCTGCACACGGCACCCCGGCCCCAGAACAGACACTCTCCTCTCTGCCCATTCCCCGGCATTGCCACTCCGGCGGCCACACCCGGCGGCAGTGGTGGCAGCAGCAGAAGAGCACGGGGATGCCTCAAAACACTTCCCCCCCAATCGCCCTCCAGTCCTGCTTCTGAAACAGCTCATGCCCAAAGGGGTGTGTGGGGGCAATGGCACCCAAAAGGGCATCACTGGTGCAGCTCTTACTCCCCCCTCCCCCCCCCGGTGGCTCTGGGCACAGCCCTGCCCTCTCCGTGGGGGCCAAGACTGGACTCTTGTTCCAGGCCGAGACCTCAGAGCAGCTGCTCCAGGCACCCGGCAGGCAACTTCCTTGGCTCGGCCAGCACAGGCGGCAGCTGCCCACCTCTAACCCCCCCTTCCTCCAGCTCCATCAGGAGGCCGGCGGCACTTCCCACCAGAGGGGGCTTTCCTCCCGGGTCACAGGAGTCGGGCTTCCCACTTCTGCTTCCAAGCACAGAGCAGGGTGGGACACACGTCCGAGTGCCTGGCCATGCTCCCAGCAGGCCATCCCCTGCCTCTAGTGCTGAAAAGGGAGGGGGGGGGGAGGAGGAGGAGGGGAAAAACAGGCCCAGAAACAGCTCTCCCCCCACCCGCTCCAGGCCAAGCAGTCCCTACTGTTGGGGAAGGGGCGGCCCCAGCAGGCCGAGAGCGAGCCCCTGACTGCCTGTTAGAAGTGACCAGTTAGGAACACCACAGATATTGCAAAGTTCAAGTATTGCTGCTTGTAAAAGCAAAGTGAAACGTTAACTCAGTAAGCTGTAACTAAGTAGGTAAGGTATGTAAGCTGACCTGGGGAGACTGCTGGTGGAGATAACTACGATGAGGGAGTCTTTAATCTGTTCTGACTGGCTGTTCTGAAGGAGGGTTCACCTGCATTCCTCTCAACGTCCTGTCCTCTTCTACCGACTTCTTCTCCTTCTGCCTACTGACCGAGAGCACGCGGCCTGTTTGATGCCGGGGATGTGCTTTCTGAGTAAAAGCAGGTTTTGCTGTCACTACAAAGTTTAAACTACACACGGTGTCGACTCAACCAGCACTGTCTCTGTCCAGCGGCCTGGGACCTTGTGGCCCTCACGGGGGGGGGGCCTTGCTGCACCCTTGCTCAGGCCACAGCTGGGAAGGCACACCAGAGGCACTCGCCAGCCAGTTGCCCACAGGGAAGGCAGCGCGGCTGGGCGGAGGGACGCCAGTGGGGCCGGGCACAGGCCGGCGTGGGAGTCAAGGGCACAAAGCGCCTGAGGAGCATCTCCTGCCCCACGGAGAAGGGGGGGGCGGAGCGTCTGAACCCGAGGAGCTCAAGGAGCGCCAGAGAAGACTGACATCTGTACCCAGCCCACCACCGCCACGCTCTGCACCAGCCGCTGCGCACACGAAGAAGAAGAAACAGAGATTGGACTGAAACCCTGCCCTTCACCCAGAGCCTCAGAGCGGCTTCCTCTCACCCTCCCTTCCCATACCCACAACGGGCACCCTGTGAAGCAGGCGGGGCTGAGAGAGCTCCGAGAGAACTGCTCCAAGAGAACTGAGACTGGCTCAAGGCCACCCAGCTGGCTGCATGCGGAGGAGGAGGAGTGGGGGACTCAGACCCGGCTCTCCAGATGAGCTGCCACCGCCGCTGGGACTCTGGGCCGCCCACGCCCTCCTCCACGCAGGCCCCGCTTCCTCCACAGAACACTTTTACGACACAACTTCTACGCACGAGATGAGACGCGGCCCCCCCCTGCCTGGAAACACCAAGCGTTTGGGATTCCTGCACCCCCAGCTCCCTGGCCCCTCACCTGCTGCAGGATCCCACCTCCCCCTCACATTCACTCTGCT